GTATTTTGGGTATAGTTTTTGGAGAACATCATGCTTGGAAAAGTAGGGGTTCAACAAAGGAGAGGTAGACACTCAGTGAAATGTTTTGACACAGGCTGAAGCACAGCAGCAGAGGTTGTGCGGAGGGGAGAGGCTGAGGCTCAGTTTCATTTTGTTTGTACGTGGGGTCTCTGAGTTGGAGTTTACTCCATGACACCTAATAATAAACAGCATGCCTGTTGTTCAGTGACATGGTTACATTTTCTACAAGACGACAGCTGGCTCAGTATTTCCCTTCAGACTGTTCTGTTCTCATTCATCTAACTTTCCTGCTCCACGGCCCCTTCCCAGCTTTATTTTAGGGTAAATGTTGATCATTTAGTTTCATATGGATGGTTTTTAAACATATATATTTTAAAGAAGTACTTACGGATGATATTGTTTATTTTTATGTGCTAATCTGTTATTTAGCTGGAAAGTGACCTACAAGAGTGGTTTCAGTACAAAACTTAAAGACTAGGATATATTTTATTCATGTCTTATTTACCCAAATAAACTGAAGGGAGGAAAACAAAAAGAGCTAAATTCCTTTACTGATGTCTTTTTATTCAAATCATAGGTAAATTGCAGAGTGCTGAAAGAATGTAAAGCCTGGTTTTGGTTTTGCTTTTCCCCCTACACTAAGCAAAGACAATAAGTAATAAGGGTCTCTTATCTTTCCCAGGAGATATTTTTTTTTTAACTATCAGAAGTTGTTTATGATTTATAAAGAATTTGTGAGTTTTTCAATGTTCCTCCTTCGTAAGATATAAAAGATATGAAACTATTTTTTCCCCCTTTTCTCCTACATATATCCTGCTTCCAAGCTTGTTTTAATTGGGGAGCTCCACCAAACTCTGTCCACCATGGGTAACCATTATTGCATTTGACACATCAGTGTCACAGTGTTCAGCATCACAGCAACCACGGGTTACCTCTGCACAACAAATGGACTATATGTTTGTAGGTAATGTAGAAAACAAGTTTGAATACAAAATAACAGGTCTTTTGATTCTATCCATAAAAACCTCTCCATGACTTGATGCTGTTGTGTATGTGGGTGTGCATACACTCTAAATATTGCTGAAATAACCCTAACCCTGAGGCCTCAAGTAGCTAGATGCTCCCTCGCTCCCTCACTGCTGTGTCCTATCACAGTTACATGTGAATCTTGTCAGCTGGGTGAGAATGAGAAGGGTCCTGTGTCTTTAAGGAGATGCACTGTGGAAGGACCCTTCACTGCAGTCTCTTTCCCCTTCCCTCCCCAGGAGACTGCAAGTGCTCCAAGACCTAACCAAGCTTTTAGAGGAAAAGAAAAATTTATGAATTTGTAATCAATTCCTCTTTCTACTGTAGCATCTTCTTGGAGTCACAGGGACTCTATGAAATGTCCCGAATGTGGTGGTCACCAATCAACTATTTTTGTCATTGACCAATGACAGATGCTTTGCCCTATTTGGCTCATATGGAAAAACAGTGTAGGAACTTGCATTGCTAATGACACAGCTTGCTTGACAGATATCTGGAAAGGACTTCTCATTCACTGGGCAGAGAATTTGAGAAAACTTAAGTTACTTTTTATTTGCTTAAGAAATGTGTGTGTGTGTGTGTGTGTGTGTGTGTTTGACACAACAGCAGAGTTTTAGGGTCACTGTATGTGGGAAACTCCAGCGGAGCTCTGGTAGCATAATCCATAGGGAGTTGTACTGTTTCCCCAAAGACTGTGTCTTTCTGGTGGTTTGAATCTACTGGTGACATTGAGGTAGAGAGAGGGACCATTTCCTACCATATAATTTACAGCCTTGTAAACCCAGTGGAAGGTCAGCTGCAAGTTGGTTCTAACTCAATAGCAATGAATGATAAGCGGGAAATGCAGAAGCCATTTTTTCCTGTTTAAAAACACCTCGCAAGCCAAAATAAGTTCCATCCTAGTTTGAAGGCAGTAAAACTTACCTCAAGAATCCCTGGGTGGTACAAATGCTTAAGTGATCAACTATTAGGTCACCAGTTTGAACTTCTCCAAAGTTGCCTCAGAGGATGATCTTGGTTATCTCCTTTTGAAAGGTGACAGCCTTGAAAATCCTTTGTAGCAATTCTTTGCACACATGGGGTTGCTAAGAATTAGAATTGACTAGTTGATAACTAATTAATTAATTAATTGCAGAACCTATACTCGAACCAGGAGGCTATTGTGTGAACAGAGCAGGGGAACACTGCATGGTTTAAATTTTTAAAAAGTGTGTCAGGATTATATTCTCTCTCCATACCTATTCAATCTGTTTGCTGAGCAAATTATTCAAGAAGCTGGACTCTATGAGGATTGGAGGGAGACTCATCTGTGTTACGCAAATAACATAATCTTGCTTGCTAAAAGTGAGGAGGACTTGAAGTACTTGTTGCAGAAGATCAAGGAATACAGCCTTCTATATGGATTGCATCTCACTGTCAAGAAAACCAAGATTCTTACCACTGGACTGATAGACAATATCATGATGAATGGAGAAGAGATTAAAATTGCCAACAACTTCATCTTGCTTGGATCCACAATTAACATCGTTGGTACCAGCAACCAGGAAATAAGGATATCCATTGCACTGGGAAAGTCTGCAGTTAGAGGCTTCTTGAAATTGCTGAGGAGTAATAATGTCAGTTTGAAGACTAAGGAGCATCTGATTCAGGCCATAGTCTTTCTGATCACTTGCTAAGGAGCTGGACAATGAATAGCATGACAGAAGAAGATTGAGACCTTGGAGCTGTGGTGTTGGAGAAGAGCACCGAACATGCCACAGACAGTCAAAAGAGCAAACAGTTATGTCATGGAGAGAGTGCAGCAGGACTGCTCTTTGGAGGCAAGGATGACGAGGCTTCACCTCACATAATTAGGGCATGTTGTTAGAAGGGGGCTATGCCTTGAGATGGACATGATACTGGGAAGGGTGAAGGGTCAGTGCAGGAGAGGAAGACTCTTAACCAACTGGATTGACACAGTGACTACTGCAATGGACTCTAGTGTGTCAGGAAGTGTGAGGATGGCACAGGATAGAACAGGGTTCAGATCTTTTGTTCATAGGTCATACTCAACAGTACTTAACAACAACAATCAACAACTAACAACAGCAACTACATATATTTTAACTTTATTTTGTGTAGTTAAGAATATACACAACAAAATATATGCCAATTCAATCATTTCTACATGCACAACTAAGTGACATTGTTAGCCTTTTTTCTCTGATTGTTACTCCTTAAATTAATGGCGAAATACTCAAATTGCTATTTGGAAAAGAGAATTTTTAGGCCTTACATACAGACTGTGAATTTATCTATACCCTTCCCTCCTCAGGAGATGCAGGTGACTCAAGTCCTGAGGAAGTTTTCACAGGAAAAGGAAAGCTGATGAATTTGTAATCCATTCTACTTTCTAACACCTTCTTGGAGTTACAGAGATTCTGTAAAATATCCCAGATATGGTTGCCACCAACTGGAGATTTTTGTAGTTGGCTAATGACGGATACTTTACTCTTTCCCTAGGGAGGGAAGGGGATAAATCTATATAATTAATGTGATTTGTCACCATGTGTATGTAGTATGTCTTTTAAACTTTTTGATATGTTTTTTTCTCAGCCTTGGCCAACTGTTTCCCACTTGGCAAAGGACTTTATAGACAAGCTACTACTTTCAGACGCTAATCATCGCATGTCAGCTGACCAAGCCCTGGATCATCCTTGGGTGCTCACCATGGCGGCAGAGTCTCCCATGAAGAATCTTCAGAGGGTTATTTCCCGGAACCTCAGGCTGAGAGTCTCTCCTCACTCTCGGAGTCCCGGATCTGCACAGTCTTCTAAGTCCTGCTCTTCTCACAAATCAAGACATGTGTGCAGCAAAAGAAACTTAGGAGTAGAAGGATCACCACTATCTGCACTTTTGTCAGCAGATAAACTTTAAAACGAGTTTATCCTTAAGCTAGATCCACATTCACAACACTAGATCAATGGAGACTCATTTCATCATGATTAAGGACCCTTAAGCTCCAAGGATATGAGAATGTGTAGTTGTTAGATAACATTGATTTTTTTTCTTGTAACATTTTGCTCTATAAGCCTACATGTTTGTTACTCAAAATACACTGCTGCAAAGGATTAATAAAATGAGAAATATTATAAGCATTTATATCATCAAAATTTTGTTGTTGTTGTTGTTATGTGCCATCGAGTCGTTTCCGACTCATAGCGACCCTATGCACAACAACCCTAAACCCCGCTCTATCCTGCGCCAACCGCACCGCCTCTGACACACCCATCCCAATTACCCCAGTCACCGAATCAATCCAACTCAAAGAGGGTCTTCCCCTCCTGCGTTGTCCCTCCACCCTCCCAAGCATGATGTCCCTCTCCAAGGACCCGTCCCTCCTGGCAACATGTCCAAAGTATGTCAGACGAAGCCCCAGAATCCTTGCCTCCAAGGAGTAGCTTGGTTTAATCCTCTCCAAGATGAATCTGTTTGTTTTCCTGGCAGTCCACAGTACATTGAGTACTCTTCTCCAGCACCACAGCTCAAAGGCATCAACTCTCCCTCTGTCCTCCTTAGTCATTGTCCAACTCTCTGATGTATAACAAGCGCTTGCAAAGACCATGGCCCATATCAGGCACACCTTAGTCTCCAGAGAGACACTGTTGCTCCTGAGTACTTTAGAGAGGTCCCTAACAACAGACTTTCCCATCGTGATACGCTTTTTGATTTCCTGGCTACTGGTGCCAAGAGTGTTTACCGTGGAGTCGAGCAAACTGAAGCTGTGAACAATCTCAATCTCTTCACCATCCATCCATAATTTTGTAGATGAAGATAATATCTTATTAATTGAGAGGATTAAATGAAGTATGAGATTATAGGAAAAAGAAATATGTACATGAAAGAATGAGGAGTTAGGGCCATAGAGGAAGAGTTAGGTGTGGAGAATAAAGGCAGTTTTCTTGAAATTATGGGCTTGTTTAAAGCAGAATGTATAGTGTCAACAAATGGTGCTTAGTAACAATGAAGATAGTTAAAAGTGTCTATTACTTTCTTGTTTTATCTGAAAATATTTACAAAAGATTGTTTAATATGGAATATATAAAGAAGCTTAAAATCTAGTATTGATCCATCAAAAATTTGTGGTCTAATTAAACATTCATTAGAAAACAGGCATTTGGATGACTCAGATAATTGTGTAAATGTGTTTAGTGCATTTATCACTTACCAGGGTTTCCAAAAAGACTGTAGAATCATTTTGCTTTGCTCCTCTACTGTCAGCTCTTGTTGGAAGCACGGGTTTCTTCAAGGGAGAGAAGAGAAGGCACTTGGCTTTCTTATGAAGTAGCCTTGTGGGCAGGTCTACCGTCTTCTTCTAGGGTCACTCACTGAGTCAGAATTGACACCAGGGAGATGAGTTTGATTTGTTCTTGATCATTTAATAAAATTTCTCACTGATTCTAAATAGTCATCATAGAATAATTGTAAATAACTGAAGCTCTGAAACTTACATCTCCAGGTGGGGTGCACAGGGCCCAATTCTCAGTACAGAAAATCTTTGTAAAATGATACAGAGATAGAAGAAATTTTATGAATTATGCCTCTGAGTCTGTCAGTATGAAAGCATACTGTTGTTGTTGTTATGTGCCTTCAAGTTGAAACTGACTCGTAGCTGAGCCTCCAGTGGGTTTTCAGAGGCTGTAAGTCACACGGATGGAAACTGCTCATCTTTACCCCATGGAGCAGCTGGTGAATTTGAACCAAGTCCTCTGAGTTGACAGAGCAACTCCTTACAACTAACCCACCAGAACTCCTGCTATAAAAGCATGTTGTTGTTATGTGCCATCGAGTTGCTTGCGACTCATAGCGACCCTATGTACAAGAGCCCTAAACCCCTCTCTATCCTGTGCCAGCCTCGCCGTCTCAGACACACTCATTCCCACCACTCCACTCACAGAATCGATCCATCTCATCGAGGGTCTTCCTCTCCTGCGCTGCCCCTCCACTTTCCCAAACAGTCTCTCCTTGCAGCATGCCCAAAGTATGTCAGACAAAGCTTCGGAATCCTTGACTCCAAGGAGCAGCTCAGCTTCACCGTCTGCAGGACAAACCTGTTTGTTCTCCTAGCAGTCCATGGTGTATTCAACACCCTTCTCCAGCACCATTAATTCTCCTTCTATCATCCCTAGTCACTGTCCAACTCTCTGATGCATAGCATATAGCTTGGATCAGATACACCTTAGTCTCTACCCTGAAGTTGTTGCTCTTCAGTACTCTTGAGAGGTCCCTCACAGCTGACTTTCCCAATGCAATTCTTCTCCTGATTTCCTGGCTGCTGTTACCAAGAGCATTGACTGTGGAACCAAGCAAACTAAAATGGTTAACTATCTCAATCTCATCACCATCCATACTGATGCTGCCAGTTGGCCCAGTGGTGAGAATCTTTGTCTTCTTGATGTTGAGCTTCAATTCATATTGAAGGCTGCAGTCCTTGACCTTCTGCAGCAAGTGCTTCAGGTCCTCCTCAGTTTTAGCAAACAGGGTTGTGTAATGCACATAATGCAGGTTGTTGATGATTCTTCCACCAATCCTGATTCCATATTCCTCCTCAAATAGCCCAGCGTCTCAGATAAAAGCATAGATACATTAGATAAGTAATTCACTAATAGTTATTTGCTTATTAAGGAAAAGAATGAAATTTTAGAGTGACATTCAATATAATTGCAAAATTAGTCTGTAGTGTCAAGAGTTTATTGTTCAAAATGGATTTCCTAGCCGTTGACTTTGACACATAGCAAGATGGGATCTTGCAAATAGGATGAGTTAGTCCATCCAAAATTATATTGGCTAGTTCCACTATATTCCATGTTTTAATATAGTGGATTCATTGACAAAATTTTGGGAACCTAAATACTAACAAGGACAAGGAAGGGTGTAGTGTGCATTCTTTGAGGCAGAGATTCCTGCTCCATTTATACTGGGATTTACACAAGTGTAACACCAGGCTTAGCAGAGAATCAGAGAGGGATATTAGATAGAGCTGACTTGAGACTACTGTCCCAAGGAGCAAGAACCAGAGGCCTTCAATCCACGCTTGCTGGAGGTCAGAGGGAAGACAGCATAGCTGGCAGGCTAGGGAATGATGATATAAGCCATGAGGCTGAAGATTGGAGGTCCTGTGACCATGCTTGAGAAACTATCTGGACTGAGGGATTGTATGCTGCTGCCAACTGTTAATGTCCATAACCTGCTGGAGGGTCAGCTATAATGCAGTTCTGACTAGAAGGTGGTTGTTGTTGTTGTTATGTGCCATCGAGTCATTTGCGACTCATAGCGACCCTATGTACAACAGCCCTAAACCGTGCTCTATTCTGTGTCAATCTCACTGCCTCTGACACACCCATCCCGAGTACCCCAGTCACTGAATCAATCCACCTCATAGAGGGTCTTCCCCTCCTGCGCTGTCCCTCTACTCTACCCAGCATGATGTCCCTCTCTAACGACCTGTCTCTCCTCACAACATGTCCAAAGTATGTCAGACGAAGCCCCAGAATCCTTGCCTCCAAGGAGTAGCTTGGTTTAATCCTCTCTACGATGAATCTGTTTGTTTTCTTGGCAGTCCATGGTACATTCAATACTCTTCTCCAGCACCACAGCTCAAAGGCGTCAATTCTCAAAACCAACAACTTATCTAACAAATCTCATATTAGTGATTATGGTTCTGTGAGGTCTGTGTGGCCATTGCAATGAATTGCAGATCCAGGAGAGTACTGAGCTTGGTGATAGAATTTGTAGAAGCAGCTGCAGGAGTGTGGGAGACCATGTCTGATCTTGAAGGAATGAGTTTTGTTCTGTGAATGTTACTGATAGGAAGAGAGTTCCCTCTTGTGGAATTAGTAGAGGTCACAATTGGTCATCTCAATACCGCTTACCCTCATTTTACAATCTGAAATTTTTAAGTTATTTATTTCTCTTTTAAGATATATACATAATTAAAACAACTACATAGGTGATATATAAGTATGAATGTATAGTTAGAAATATAGATACTGTCAACTTAATTATAATGCCTAATCACAGCTCAACATTAAGAAATCAAAGATTCTCTCCACCAGACCACTTGGCAGAGTCATGATAGATGGAGAAGAGATTGAGATTGTTAACAATTTTATTTTGCTTAGATCCACTGGTACCAGCAGTCAGGAAATCAAAAGATGTGTTGCATTGGGAAAGTGTGTCAGAGACCTCTCCAGAGTGCAAAAGAGCAATGATGTCAGTCTAGAGACTAAAGTGCACCTGATCCCGGCCATGAACTTTGTAATTACTTGCTATGCATTCGAGATCTGGACAATGACCAAGGGTAACAGAAGAAGAATCAATGCTTTTGAGTTGTGGTGCTGGAGAAGTGTACTGAATGCCAAAAGAACAGACAGATCTGTCCAAGAAAGGCTGAAACCAGGTTGCTCCTTGGAAGCAAGGATTTGAAACTCCACCTCACATCCTTGGCAAGTTGCCAAGAGGGACCAGTCCTTGGAGAAGGACATCATGTTTGGAAATGTGTCGGGTCAGCACAGGAGAGGACTATCCTGGATGACATGGATTGATAGTGACTGTGGTAATGGGGACAACTGTGTTGGAGATAGTGATATTGTCTCTTGACAGGGCAAGGTTCAAAGCAATTATACATAAGGTCACCAAGAATCACAGTTGACCCAATGGCACATCACAACAATCACATATGGCAGGCAATGGGTTAATTTCTTAAATACAGAGAGAACACTTAATTATTAGTTTAAAAATGATAAAAATGAACAAATAGTTTCACAGGTAGACCATAAGGAAATTACAGATGGCTGATAAATGTGTGAAGAAATGCTCAATTTTACTATAATTCGTAAGAAAAAAATTAAAGCAAAAACTGGTAATATTTTTTACTT